CGTACATATGTTTAATTTCTTTGCTTATATCTTGCTGTTTTAGCTTAAATATCTGATAATAGTATTGTTTCAATGATTTGTGATTAGTTTGAGTACAAAGAGGACGACAATACACTAGAGAAGTGTGGTTATTGTGACTATCTTCCAGTTAGATGTTGGCGGCATTGCTTAGATAAAGTGACAATCATAAATAATGGACTTTTGAAAAATAGTCCAATTAGTGCTAAACATGATGCTGAACTAGAAGAATTCTTCAAGACCGCAACACATCCTCGGATCATTGTCGTAAAGATAATTTATTTGTGACTTCCCATGAGAAAAGGTTTTGAGGCTTGTTGATTGATAATGCTAAACAATTATTTTACTAAACTGAAATTATTTTTACTGAACTGAAATTAATTTTACAGAACTGAAATTATTTTTACTGAATATTTTTTTTATAAGGTGAAGTGATGGTTTATATAACCTTAAAAGTTGGGTTATAAGACTTAATGACTTATTTCTTAAAAATGAGGCTTATGCTTAAAAGGGGTGAAGATTTGGTATCAATTCTCTTTAATTTGCCGTATCAGAATAACAGTCATACTTGTATTTCATATAATCATCGCCGCTGAGCCTACTTCTAGCTATGTTCTATTTATGACGTTTCTACAAATTTTTGTTTTTGAAAACAAATTACATATAAGTACGAGTAATAAGAACAAGTGCTCTGAAAAAAAGAAATTTCTATAATCAACTTTACTCTGTTTTTGTAGCATTTTATTTTATTTTATTTTTTCATACCCATATTCTTGTTTTTCTTTCTCATACCCATATTTTTAACTTTTCACACATAAAATCATTTACATTCTTTCTAATTTTCCCAATCACTGATGAAGTAGCTATCGTATTCGATAACTTTCTCCGACGAAGAGAATTGCTCTTTAAAGCACTCACCGAGGATTCCGACGAGCTTTGTAAACAATGCAATTAAGGTTACTTCTAACTTCCTATTATGGGTGTTTTTATCAATAAAATTTTCTTTGATAGAAATGAATTTTTTTTTTTTTTATTTATTATTATTATTTTGTATGGTATGAGTTTATGACATATATTTGTTCAAATTTTTATGATAGATTCTTATTGAATTTTTGTAATATGTTTCAATTCTTGCCACTCTTTACTGTTCAACTAATTTATAAAAACTCTATACTGAATAGCTAAAAATAAGATCTAATTTTCAACTAATTCTCTAAGCTAAAAACCTCCTAATTCTAAGCTAAAACTAGGTATTTAAATCTAAAAGGTGTTCGTACAAACATAGCCTCGGGTCTATTTATAAGAGACGAGAAAAGCGAAAGCAATGTCTATATAATGTATATATAAATATAATTTTATGTAATTTGTTAATATATAAATAATTATACAATTTGGTTGAACGCACTCATAAAAATGCTAAATATGTCACTTGTATTGCTTTTTCTGAGCTCGCAATTTCTGTAAAAATGGAAAACACTAATCAAAATTCAAAAGCAAGGAATAATGGCTGAATGTGATTTCAATAAAAAGTAAAGAAATCGAAGAAGATGTGTGTTTTTGATAATTCATAAGTTGATTGTTTTTTTTTCCCGACTTATTTTAATTTATTTTTAGAATGCTCGTAAACGACTTTGAGTGTAATACCGGGGATGAATTGGATTGGTCAATTAAGTATTGTATCATGCGATATGGGGGAGTTTTGGTAGCTGAAGATTGTGGAAGAATCTGATTATAGTGGTTTGACAGCGTACAAACAAATCTCTCATATTGTTCTAATGTTAGGATGAGACACAGATGATTTCATCAAGGGTCATACAAATGAAGAATCCAGTATAGAAATTAAAGGATTTAGGGGTTTTGGAAAATGCATCTATCATGTATACGCGTCAGTCACATGCACGACCCTGTTTTTGAATTTTGAGAGTATTGTATTTCCTTTAATTTGACTTCAAGTAATTATTCTAGTTATTTCTTTCACTTTTCCGTTTTTGTTGATCAGTTTTGTTTGTTTATTATTTTGCAAATATGTGTTTATTGATCGATTAAATACGAGTGACTAATTTTTAATTTATGTCTTTCGTATTATATGTCGACTCAATCAAATTGATTGTTCTATTTTTTAACTTACTTGCAGTGACGTCTCTAAGCTACAAATGGCTCTTGCACTCTACGCTGAGGCATCTACAAGCTAAGCAACGTGGTTGAGAATGAAAGGAAATTACGTGGAGCGTGCGAAAATCCTAAAGATTTTTGGGTGAATTGTGTTGTTTGCAAAGAGGCATTTCATGGCAAGTGCGTTGAAATAAACCCTGCAGAAAGCTGAGAAAATCAAATAATTCAAATGCAGAAAGTGTAGCAAATTAAGAGGGTATTGCAAGACACCTATCGAGTGATCAGATCAGACTATATACTTGCTTAGTTGCTTGTTGTCAATGAAACAGCGGCTGTAATGATGATCGGATATTCTCAAAAACCGAGTGATCAGACTATATACGCATGTACTACTTGTGTGCGGTTGTACGCTGCCCTTTATTTTGATACAAGATTTCAATTGTTTTGAGGCTGAATCCGATCGGCCAACATGCACCTGATTGCATGCATATGTATCTGCCTATGTAATTTTTGACTAAGTTGATTTGGTTTTCTTGTAATCCTCAAAATCTTAGGAATACCAATATACCATACCATTGTTTTGCAAGTGCAAAATATACTTGTTGTCTTATGCTGCTCATGGTGTCATGTTATGCATATATCATCTCATGACTTGCATGTTTTGTTGCTGCCAATTAAAGCTCTGTAATCAAAGTCGTGTCATAAAATACGTATAGTGTTAAGGTGCAAATAAGTACTAGTTGTTTCTATCACCACAAAGTTGTCTCTAAGTAGTACATAGTACAAGGAAAACTTTGGTGCTACTAGCTAGCCAACTAATAATCATAATAATGGATTTAACATATTTACATTTTTCATTTCACGTGATGTCAACTTTAAGTAATTAAAAATAAGTCTAATATGATGTTAATTTTTCATAAATGAGTATTGTTACCTGTGACCTGTCAAACAAGTCATCAATTGACTTATATAATAATTAACCGATCAACTAAATCAAAATTAACTTAATTAGTTAGCAAAATAATTTAACAAATTAGTTGCAAAATTAACTTAATATGAGTATAAAAAAAAAATTCTAATTACAATAAATAATTTTGTTAAAAAATTAGGTTATTGGCCTGAGTGTGGGAGACCCTGGTGGCCTGGGTTCATATTGGCTAAAGTGGGGGCAATGTGGATAAGGGGAGGGGGCTGGGTGTTCGACGGCATGGGTTGGGGTGGAGGTGGCTGGTGGTCCTACAGTTTGGGGAATGGGGTTGGTTGATTTTTTTTTTTCCTTGATAATAAAAATAATAGATTCTTAGACTTTTTTATTTACTTTAAAGTGATTAGATTAATTAAACTTTTAAAATACCTCACTAGTAATGTTTTGATACATAGCATATTAACCAGTTAATAACCCATACAACCGGTTATCACTTAATATTGGAAGAGAGGTAAAAAAGTTAGGCTTATTTTTAATTTGAATTAATTAAAGTTTAACTTAATACAAGTCTACATATACACTTGCTGTATCATTGATTGGTACGAAATTAGAAGCTGGAGGATTATATCATTTATATGGTTTTGATAACATGGTAATTATACTTTAAAGCATTCCTAAGCTTCCTAGCCATGATTGCTTCCTCAACATTTATAATTATATAATTATTTATTTTGCAAATGGAGTAATGTAAGCATTAATTTTCAACATCTAATTCGGTTATTGTAAATATATAATGAACTAAAACGTGCCACGCCTAAACTAATGGTACTATATAAAGTTCTCATTCATGGCATATGGAGAGATATGGGTAGAATCATGGGGTATGGTACTATAGTTGTATTAATAAAAACAATTGGGGACCTTTATCTATCTATTAAAAAAATATTAAATTTGGGGAATAAATCAAGTTAGCAATTTGAGAAGAGAGTTAGGTTTAGTGTTTACTTTATACATGCATTTATATATAGAGATAGCCATGTGACAAAGACAAGGTACAGTCCAAAGAAAAGTTAAACCTTGTCCAATTCTAATTATATCATCCATTTGGGTGACCTAATCCTAGCCATGTTCTTGATAATCTTATGCAAATATCACCCCCTTTCCCTTAAAAAATTAGGAAAAAAACACCTCAAATTTCAATTATTTAGAAAGTTTGGTTGATTTTTTGGTTGAAAGAAATATATCAATGCAATAATAAAAATGAAGATGGAAGATTTCCTTTCTATGCTATGAGACATGTAAAAATGTTTAAGATTAGGATTGAATTTTTTTTTATCATTATGACCGTATATAATTTTTTTTTTTTTTGACACAGTGACTATGTATAATCAATTATTACATGTAATCAACAATCAAAATTAATACTTTGTATATCAGTACTAGGTAAGTAAGCCAGAAAATTCTTAATGAATGCTCATTTAAATTAAATATCGAATCTTATCTATATTATTGCGTTTTATGACAGTCAGTACCCGAATACAATTAAATTTAATGCAGTATCATAGATCATGAGTCTCATTATTACTCGAAGTATGAATTAAGGAAAGTATTAAAAACCAAACAATTTTTATTTGTATTAAAAATATGGACATTACAAAAATTAATAACCAAGCAAATACAAGTACAAGTAGATTTTATTTTATCTTATATTTGGGCCAACAGTTTTGGTGTTGGTTGAGGTTTAACGGTCAGTCGATTTCTCACAGCCCAAAGGATGTCTTTGTCATTCCACCCCACCAACAAATTTCTTCATTTTTAATCTTCAAAACCTTCCATTTTTATTCTCCTTCCCTCTTCTTCCTTCTTTTTCGTTCTTCACCTTTGATCCATCTTCTACCTCCATTCAATCAAGGTACTCTCTTTTTCTCTCTCCTCTTCTTTCTGGTTTCTTCTCTTTCCAAATATCTTAGCTTTTATCGAAATTTTATTGCATTTTTATTTCTAAGTTAGCAGGGTTTCTTACCTTTTCTACCTTTGATGTCTGAAATTTGTTTGCATTTTGAGAAGTAAATCACTTACTATTTAGGAATTTTCTTGATAGTATCATCTGGGTTTCATTTGAAATTGGAAATTATGTAATGGGTATATTGTTTTTGGAATGTTTGAGAAATTGGGCAATGTTATATTGACTTTTAGTACTTGGGAATAATTGGGTTTTTGTTAATTTCTTGTTTTGATGGGTGAATTTGTGATTGAGGTGGGATTTATATTATTTGGGTGTTTGTCATGAGAGTTATTTATTTGGTTAGTTGATTGACTATTTGTGTTAATTTAGCTGAATTTTGATGATGATGATTATGTTGGCTTTTGAGAACTGGTTTATAGATTATGAACTGTGGCATTTTTGGTGGTTTTAGGGTCTGATTTTGGGATGGGATCATCATTATCGATTTCGGAACGTTGGAGTGCAGGTTGTTTACATAAGCTGGATTGTCATTTGGTTTTCCCAATTGAAGTCATTGGTTCATTGTAGGAAACCCTTGTAATTCAAATTATATGGCTGTAAAAGGATCCTTCCCAATTAAAGTGGATAGCAATGTACACGGATTCGCCCGCGTGTTAAAATCAGCTGCGTGCGAGTGGTTGTTGCTGTTTCTCTTGTTACTTGATGCAGCATTTTTGTATTTCCTAAAAAAGTTTGCTCAATATTGTGAACTACAATTGCCTTGCATATTGTGTTCCAGGCTTGATCATATTTTAGGAAAAGAAAATCCGGACTTTTATGTAAATCTGCTTTGTAATAATCATAAGTCAGAAATATCATCTTTGGTTTCTTGTCATAACCATGGTAAACTTGTTGATGTTCATGGAATGTGTGAAGAATGTCTGTTTTCGTTTGCAAAGAATGACTCAAGGGAAGAAGCATACAAAATTTTGGTAGGTAAGTTGGGATCAGAATGTATTCAGAAACCATTAGTAAATTTGGATATTAATTCTGGTTCTTTGACCACAAAGTTCTGCTCATGTTGTTCAAAGCCATGGAGATCTAGACCAAATGTGCAGAAGATGGTTCAGTCGAAATTACCTTCAGCACTTGTTTCTAATCCTGAGATTCCTCCACCAAAATCACCTGGACATAGATGCCTAAACAGTCAACAGGGCTTGAAGAATAGAAGGGATAGGTTTTCGTTGCCAACTAAGCCTCTTGTCCTAGGAAGTAAAGATCATGATTCCTTGTCTCATGTTGGGTATACTGAAGTGAAGATCAGTTCAGACTCTGACTCGGATTTCCCATTTTCTGATGATGATGATCTGATCAATGTGCCTCGGAACCGGAAAATTAATGAATTTCTATCACGACAGGGCTCCAAGTTTACTCCGAAGAGTCAGTATGCTGATGTTTTCCCAGCAGTGCAACGTCAGAAATCAACTCCTGCCACTAGCAATTTAATGTTTTCACATCTTGAGCCTGAAAAAGGTGAAACGACCACTCCGAGGTTTATTTCTAATGGTGATTTAAGGAAGGGCCTTGGAGAGCTAAACTGGCAACAACTTATAAAAAAAGCAAGTCCTTTAGCACCTGAGCTTGTGTCATTGGATGATATTCCTTTATCATCCAGTGCTCCAAAGGATTTACCAGCTATATCAGCAGATGAAGGTGACAGAGTTTCTCTCTCAAATACGCTTGATGCTTCTGGTTATACAGATTTTATTTCTCACAAAACTGCTTTGTCATCTGAAAATGTGCAACTGCCAGCTAGATTATCAAAAGAGAATTGTAAGTCCATAATGCCTGTACCTAATTCTTTTTGGTTTAGCTTGTTTAACTGTTGCAATTTCATCTGGTTTATAGGTTTGTGCTGTTTATCCAAACCCCTAATTTCTTGAATATTGTTTGTTAATTTTTATAAAGTACTTCCAGGTATCGAAACTAAGGAAATGGGTGACACGGGACTTACCTCTGCCATCAACCATTGGGAATCTATTGATTTGAATAGCACCTCAACTCTTTCGTCAAGGAAGGATGCTGCATTTGTGCCTAATAACAATTCTGTCATTGGTGCAAGAGACCTTGCTCCTATTATTATTAAGGACGTTAAAGCTTCAAACCTTTTATCAGAAGAAATTGGCAGTAGCACTTGTAATGGTAATGAATCAGCTGAGAAACCATCTGTTTCAAAAGTATCAGACACCCAAACAGATTCATCATCAAGCAATATATGCCCTCCAGTGAATGGTCACTTTGATGAACCACGGATGATTCAAAATCCTAGTTCCAATGATACTCTGATGCCTCCAAAATCTCCAGGTATGGAGAGGTCTCAGTCCCTTGAATCACTAGAAGAAAGTGTAAGTGAAATTGAAGGTGAAAGTCTTGTTGACAAGTTGAGACGACAGGTTGAATATGATAAGAAATGCATAAAAAATTTGCACAAGGAGCTAGATGAAGAGAGAAATGCATCTGCAATTGCTGCGAATCAAGCTATGGCTATGATAACTAAGTTGCAAGAGGAGAAGGCTGCTCTTAACATGGAGGCTCTTCAATATCTGAGGATGATGGAAGAGCAAGCAGAGTATGATGTGGATGCACTGGAAAAGGCTAATGAAATGATTGCTGAAAAGGAGAAAGAAATACAAGAATTGGAGGCAGAGCTTGACTATTTTAGAATAAAGTATCCAGAAGATTTTCCTGAAATGATTTAGGAAATTTTGTTTGCAGAGGATGCACAAGGCTCCTACTTTGAAAGCACTGAAGTTAAGAGTTCGTAGAATTGAAGATATTATCACACTGCACATCCTTATATGTCGTACAATATCTGGAACCCTGCTGGGTAAATTTATTCCTGGAACCTTTCTTGCTTCATTAGTGTTGTCTTTGTGTCTCTTTTTATATATTGCAGTATAGGTTGATTTCATAGATGTTTTCAGACTCTGGAACAACCTTATTATGAAAATGGCTAAACCACTTATGCTGACTATCTAATTCATGAGTTTCTTAAAAAGTAGTTTGAGATACTTAGTTGGCTAACAAAATTAGATAGGGTTTTGAGCAAAATTCAGCAAATGCATAGTTTATTACCAATGTTAATATGATGAAGTTTAATGGAGATATTATATACATATTTGTGTATGTTTATTTATTTATTGGTGTAGAGAGAGCCACATAGGGCAAATGATGTAGATGAGATTCGATCACGGGTCTTGGTTCTACCCTTAAACTTTAACCAAGTTAGTTGACGTCCACATATATGTGTATGTTTATGAATATATACAGATTTGAGTTTCTCAATCTAGATTACTGAAGTTCTTACTTTGCTACTGTGTTTTGATGTTGGTAGTATGAATCCAATAGTTTGTACTCTGTACACAACATTTACACCCCTATATTGGACCAAATGAGTGATCTTGTTATTTGACCTTCAGTTTTTTCTGTAAACAGATTCGTGCTGGAAACAGGTGGACAAAGAAATTGAAAGCATCAGCTTGTTGGGAGTGATTTTGAGGAGAGGCCATGCTTACTTTCAGCAGCTGCTTAGATGCTGAGATGATTGCGTAAAGAAAGTTCTCATTAAGGTATCAGCTCAATACTTTGATGAAAATGATCAACAAAGTCTGCCAAAACCTGTGCTAGTCTTTTGCATCCTCATTTTTTGTCTGAGGTGTGTATACATTCGATTAATGTCATTGAAGCAGCAGCAGCGGCATATCTTGTGGATATTCTCAGAACAGAATTATCAGACTGTATACTAGTGTGCATCTCTTTGATATGTTTTCAATTGTTTTGAGGCTGAATCCAATCGGCCAACATGCACCTGATTGTATCTGCCTATGTAAATTTTGACCCCATTGATTTGGTTTTCTTGTAATCCTCACAGCTTAGGAATACCATTTTTTTCCCAGCTACAAAGTATACTTGGTGTCTTACTTAGCTAATAGTGTCATGCTATGCATATATCGTCATGACTTGCATTTTTCTTTTGCTACTAAATTACTGTAATCAAAGTTGTGTCACAAAATACGGTAATAAGGGGCAAAGCAGTGGTTGTTTCAGAACAGCACAAAGTTGCAGGTCATGTAGTATGGAGACATAATATACTAGGAAACTTTGGTGCTTCGGATATTGTGCTCCATCATTTTTATTTTTCCATTTCTTACTTCTCGATGTTCTCGTGCAACATAGTTTCTGTAATACTGCGCATGTTTCATACTTATATATGGAGTATTACATACAAATATACAATGTATCAAGTAGACAAATGTAGCCAAGTTTGAACTCTGAAGTAACATTGGAGTCTAGTTTCTCATATCTTCATGGGTGCTTCTTGGAAAGCAGTAATCCGTCATTGTTTCTTTTTTCTTTACTTGACTTGATTAGAACCACAAGTAAAAGTCTTTATTTTTCCACTGTTTAGGTAATCATTGAAATCTTATTTTATTCACTCCAAATTGTTTATAAGATTTTACAAATCTATAACTATATACTAAAAGCAAATAAAAAGTGACATGTGTCAGCATTTGGTTAAAAATTTTCCCTCTTAAAAAATTATGTTATTATTTTTTTTTTTTTTAAGGAAATATTTTATTCAATATATCTTTTTCTTCCTATTTCAATTCTTCCACATCTTTTATATTAAGAAAAATAATTTCAATGTAATGCAATATTTCTGTCCCAAATCAATAAGTCTTTTAACAAGTACTAATAGAAAAATAAGCAAATATATTATTAAAAAGATATTCATATTGTATATCATACGGTCGTGCGGGTACAATTTAAAATATTTATTTAGAAAATTTTTAAAAATATGGAACTTTATCATATTTTTTTAGAGGAGAATAATTTGTAAGAAAATTATTGATTTATAAATTGTTGTAAATTTTTATAAAATATGGTAAATCCGTGTATTGCACGAAAATTAAGCTAGTATATATATATGTGCAAGTTTGCAACCTGCATCGTTAAATTTATAAATTACACTATTCGTAAAATTATTAGATATGTAAAATTAATTACTCTGATTTTGAAAAAATCGGTCTCACACTAACATAATTGAGACAATAGATTAAAATTTCATTATCATAGGACAATGTAATATTGTCTCACTGTAATTATGAATGACCAAACTTATATGTATTCTCACTTGCAAAATCAAAATTTGTGTTTTTCTTGTCAACAATATATACCAAAGGTTTTGATATTTCAAAGCCTAGATTGGGACGTGAAGTGGCATTTTATTTTATTAATTTATTAATTTGCTACAAATTATATGAACAAATACTAGTCAACTAAGTTTCTCTCAAATTATATTTAAATATACATTACCTTACTAAACTTAATTTATCTCATAAAATATCCTCCACAACCATGTTTGAGCTAAGCAAATCACCTCTTCCTTCATTATGGCTAATCCTCCCATTGCTACTTATACTCATAATCAACAAGTTTTTCTCCTTCCAAAACACGAAAAACTTGTCAATCTACTACCACCACATTCCCAAAATCTTACCCTATTATCGGTCACTTGCTTGCCATTTATCAACACAAGGATGAGAGGTTCCAATGGTTCTCATCCCTTCTACTCAACTCCCCGACTGGGACCATCGTTATGAACCACCCTTTCGGATGGTGGAACATCGAAACTAGCAACCCGGCCAACGTGGAACACATGCTCAAGACTCAGTTTCCCATTTACCAAAAGGGGCCTTATCAGAAGTCCATTCTGAAGGACCTTTTAGGGAATGGCATATTCAATGTTGATGGTGAGATGTGGAAGTCTCAAAGACAGATTGCTAGCTATGAGTTCAACACCAAATCGCCACGAAATTTCGTAGAGACGGTTGTTGATACCGAGCCTTTTAGGGAATGGCATATTCAATGTTGATGGTGAGATGTGGAAGTTTCAAAGACAGATTGCTAGCTAAGAGTTCAACACCAAATCGCCACGAAATTTCGTAGAGACGGTTGTTGATACCGAGCTTTATTGTTGGTTAATCCCAATCCTACAGGAGGCTGCTAGGAATCAGACTGTCCTTGATCTGCAGACATACTAAAAAGGTTTGCGTTTGACAATATTTGCAAGATTGCTTTTGGTTATGATCCAGAATATCTGTCACCTGCTTTACCACAGGCTAAATTTGCTGTTGCTTTTGAGGATGCTGCGATGATTAGTAGTGCGAGAGCCAAATCACTTTCATCAATCCTGTGGAAAATCCGTAGGTTTCTTAATATTGGTTCAGAGAAAAGGCTAAAAGAAGCAGTAGTTGAAATTCGAGGTTTTGCAAATTCCATTGCAAGACAGAAAGAACAGAAAATGTTCCAGAATTCACAGGAATTATGCTCAGCAGAATCAGATGACTTACTGTCAAGATTTCTTAAATCAGGCCACTCTGACGAGAAATTTGTAACTGACATCGTTATCAGTTTTATCCTTGCTGGCCGAGACACCACATCAGCCGCTTTAACATGGCTTTTCTGGCTGCTCCACAAGAATAAACACGTAGAAGATGAGATCCTAAGAGAGATCAGCAAAGGCAGGGGAAAACATAAAAACAAGACAGAGCATGTTTCTGTTTTTGATCAAGTAAAAGAGATGGTTTACACTAATGCTGCAGTATGTGAGAGCATGAGGCTCTACCCACCAGTGCCTGTAGACGTGAAGGAGGCGGCCGCCAATGACTTGTTGCCGGATGGCACACCCGTGAAAAAGGGAATGTGGGTGGGTTACATCCCTTATGTTATGGGGAGAATGGAAAGCATATGGGGCCCTAATTGGGCTGAATACAAGCCTGAACGTTGGCTGGAAGCGGAGGATGCAGACAATTCTGGGAAAGGGAAGTGGAAGTTTGTGACAAAGGATCCATATTCGTATCCAGTATTTCAAGCTGGGCCTCGGGTTTGTCTGGGGAAGGAGATGGCACTTTTGCAAATGAAGAGGGTGGTGTCTTGTATATTGGAGAGGTTTCGGGTGGTTCCGGCAGTGGAAGAAGGTTTTGAGCCTGTCTTTGTTCCTCACTTGACTTCGGAAATGCAAGGTGGTTTTCCTGTAAGAATTGAAGAAAGGACAGTATGAAATGTTACAAATTTAAAATATTAGCATATGTCATTATGTCATGGCATAAAAAGATTAGCGTATAAAATATTTAACGTATAAAACGGAGAACAAAATGAGATTATAAAAATTTCTTATTGAGACAACTAAACATGTAATCAATTTCAGTCACAACTCACAAGTACCTCTATAATATTCAATCCTATGAATTAGCACTCAAAACGTACTCTTGCTGGTTAAACAACCAATACAAAGCAATTAAACAAAAATTTTATCCAACTAGTATGTGGTTGTATCAAAAGCTGCTTCATATATGACTCAAACTTCATCAGATATAATATAAAATAACAACCTATAACCTATAGTTAAGAGCAAATACGAAGAGATTATTATGAAGATAACTTTTATGAAGGAATAATAATGTTACTTGGGTGGTTCATGGTTGATTTAGTGATTCGACGACTTAAAAGGCAACTGCAATCAACTACAAAGTACTAATTAAGTACTTATTATTTTCATTTTTGTTTTTATACTGTAGTTTATTTAAGTTCAAGTTCCCCTCTTTTTATTTCAGGTGTAGGTGATCATTCTAGTGTCCTCACAAGGTCAAAGGCTCATGTTTATGCTTACAATGGGGTTCGAACCCTTGACCTTGGTGTCTCCACGTCACATCAACACGAGCACATGGTCACTCACCTCCTAGCTTCACGCGCAATCAAAACACCAAGCAGGCGCATTGCCTCACTACAACAGCAGCAAGCAACCCTGCTCTGCCCCTGTTCCCTCACCGTGGCAATACCCAAACGACCAAGCATTTCCTACCAACCTTCCTCATCTTCTGACTCTGCCAGCAAGCTATGTAGAATTAAACTACCAATTTTTTTTTTTTTTTTTTTTTTTTTTGTAAGGTTGTACCCATGACGCATGTTAGAAGGTTTAAGTTACTTAAATAACAGATTGCCAAAGATACTTCGTGCAATATATATGCATCAAAAAAGAGGACTTCCATATACCATCTTTCCTCTTAAATTTATATTTTCTCCTTCATATTTGTTGCCAAATTACTTAAATAGCAACAAACTACTTAGAAATTGCCTAATATAACAAATCATGTTTGAGCTTGGCAAGTTGTTGACTTCATTTTTGGTAATATTTCCGTTGCTCCTCTTGTTCTTCATCAAGAAGTATTTTTCTACCCAAACAACGAACACATGCCAAACTACAACCATCCAGTTCCCAAAAGCTTACCCTTTGATTGGCCATTTGATCACCGTCTTGAAGTTAAAGAAGGATCAAAGATTTCAATGGCTCATAAGTCTAGTAGTCAACTCTCCAACCTCTACATTTGTTGTTCAGCGTCCGTTTGGACGAAAGAACATTGTCAATTTACCAAAAGGACCCTGTCTTTAAGTGCATTCTGAAAGACCTCTTAGGGGATGGTATATTCAATGTTGATGGTGAGATGTGGAAGTTTCAAAAGACAAGTTGCCAGTCATGAATTCAACACCAGATCCTTAAGGAAGTTTGTCGAGACTGTCGTTGAGGCCGAGCTTTCTGATAGGCTGATCCCGTTGTTAGTGTGAACCAGGTTCATTTAAGAGTTTGTATCATTTTTTTATGGTAGTTTATATTGGCTATCCTTACTATCGACTCTAGTCATGTTTCTAATAAATAAAGAACAAATGGCTCAGTATAAATAAAGAAACGTGATATTCACCTATTTCTCATCATTCTAAAATTTACTGTATTTCATAACTTCATAAGTACTATAATCAGATTATACAAATCAATTTTCCCAAACAAACTATCTATCATAACATCATTCTAAAATTGCTTATATAATGTATAATATAATGAATAACAAAGAAGCAAATATATTCAGAGTCGTTGTGGTCAAATGTTTCATGCCTCATTGCATATGCCGAGTTTTGTGTACAACTGTACAAGTGTGAGACTCATGTAAGTATATAATACTGTTTAAATTTATTTTACATTTTTTAAGGGAACTATAATTTTATACAAGTACTTAATTACTTGTTGTTGAGCCATTTGATTATTGTTTCTTGCACAATTTTCTGTATTTAATTGTCAGGCTACTTGGAATTTTTAAACTTACTTCAAATAAGAACTTCTGAACTTGTGCCATTCCAAACTACTTGAACAAATCTTCAAAACATTATAAAATATGCTCAATAAGAGAGGATCTTCAAACCTCCTTTCTTTTCATCTACAAACTCGTGGTTCTCTTTCAGATTTGTGGTCATTTTCCCAAAAACACTCAAAAGTTGACAAATCATAAATCATGTTTGAGCTTGGAAAGTTGTTAGCCCCGTTTTTGCTGATCTTCCCATTGCTTCTCTTGTACTTGATCAAGAAGTTTTTATCCATCCAAACAACAAAAACCTGCCAAACTACTAACTTCGAGTTCCCCAAAGCTTACCCTTTGATTGGACATTTGATCGCGGTCTTGAAGCAAAAGAAGGATGAAAGATTCAGGTGGATCGCTAGTCTGATAGTCAACTCTCCATCGTCCACCTTTGTCATGCACCGTCTGTTTGGACATCAGAGCATCCTTACAGGAAACCCTGCCACGGTGGAGCACATGCTCAAGAATCAGTTTCCAGTTTACCAAAAGGGCCCTTTCCAAAAGGCCATTCTCAAAGACCTCCTAGGTGATGGCATATTCAATATTGATGGTGAGATGTGGAAGTTTCAAAGACAAGTTGCCAGTTATGAATTTAACACCAGGTCCTTGCGGAAGTTTGTTGAAATAGTGGTTGATGCCGAGCTTTCAGATAGGCTGATCCCGTTGTTGTCTGATGCAGCCAAGAACCAAACAGTCCTAGATTTCCAAGATATACTCCAAAGGTTTGCATTTGATAATATTTGCAAGATTGCTTTTGGGTATGATCCAGAATACTTGTCACCCTCTTTACCACAAGCAAGATTTGCAGTTGCATTTGAGGATGCTGTGACGATCAGTAGCCAACGATTCAGATCTTTTTTCCCTATTCTATGGAAAATCCGCAGATTTCTTAATATTGGGTCAGAAAAAGAGCTTAAAGAAGCAGTCACAGAGATCCGGAACTTTGCCAAAACAATTGTTAGACAGAAAAGGCAAGGGGTGGTGAAAGATTCAGAGTCATTAGAACCAGAAGACTTATTGTCAAGGTTTCTAAAATCAGGCCACACTGACGAGAAATTCGTCACTGACATCGTTATTAGCTTTATCCTTGCAGGACGAGACACCACATCATCAGCTTTAACATGGTTTTACTGGCTCCTCCAGAAGAACAAACATGTTGAAGAAGAGATCTTACGAGAGATCAACAAAAACAGGGGAAAACAGAAAAATAAAACAGAACATTCCTCTCTTTTTGACGAAGTCAAAGTCATGGTTTACACTCACGCTGCATTATGCGAGAGCATGAGGCTATACCCACCAGTGGCATTAGACACCAAGGAGGCTGCCATCAACGACGTGTTGCCAGATGGCACGAAAGTGAAAAAGGGTACTTGGGTATCTTACAGCGCTTATGCTATGGGAAGAATGGAAGGTATATGGGGCCTTGATTGGGCTGAATACCGGCCAGAGCGGTGGCTAGAAGTGGAAGATGAAAAGACAGGGGCAGGGAAGTGGAAGTTCGTGCCTCGAGACCCATATTCCTACCCGGTTTTTCATGCTGGACCCCGGGTTTGCCTTGGAAAGGAAATGGCAATCTTGCAAATGAAGATGGTGGTGGCTGGTATCTTGGAGAGGTTTCGGGTTGTTCCAGCAGTGGAAGAAGGAATTGAGCCAATTTACGTTGCGAATTTGACCGCTAAGATGCAAGGTGGTTTTCTAGTAAGGATTGAAGAAAGGACTGTATAACATGTAAGCATGGAGAATTTCTAAGTTTAAGCACATTAAGAAGATTCTAAGAGGTTGTGTTATTTTAAATTACTTACATTAATTTTCAATCATTTTAGCTCCAATATAAATGCATCAAAACATGTCATATGGCTATGTCATAGTGTGAAGGGTATTTAATTTTCTTTTGAGTTAATAGATTAAATTTCAGTCCACTTACAATGGAAAGAAAAGTATGGATCATGCTTAAACAATATATGAGGTGAAACCACAGTACCACACTGAAGATAATAAGAAAATAAAGCTCAAAACAAGAAGTTCCAACAGATAAACTACATTGAGCAGCACTGAAATGAATCCTGCTGCGAGCCTGTGATACATTGACCAGACACCACTGTTCCCAGGACCCAAGCTGCACACTTGTGAGACAGAAAAAGTTTAACCTGGCTGAAAAGATTTGTGCTGCAAGCACATGTGCTGGTAAGGATTGGGCAGTGGGACAGGTCCAGCTCTGTCCAGCCCGGGTTCTGGCTTAACCCAAATCACCAGCCAGGTTAGCCCACCTAATTATTAGCTTCTATTACTTCTTTATAAAGTGGACTGCCTCCCAGCCCCATTGCTTCGTGGTTGAATCTAATTCCTCCAAACAGACCTGACCCACCTCCTAAACCGGCCTTTGGCCACCCAACTAATGCCAACAAAAGTGAATTTGGTTGAAATGATTTTACAGGCAACTTCAGAAATGAAATCCATTTATATGACAGTTTAGTAGAGTATTCTGCCAATGACTCTGGCCTATAGAAGTTATGTAATATTTCATTAAACCTAGTTCTGAAATCACTTCCTATAACATGGCCACACCCGACAAAGCACTGCCCCAAAAAACCTCTTTCTCAAAATGCTACAATCACAGATCCCTTTATTCCAACCAAGAGCAGTTGCACAAGAGCTTCAATAATGCTTAAAATCCAAAGAAGCATCACTCGATGACTTTTTTACAATCAAACCACAAATGCCATATTCCCTTAAACCTTTTCTACTGAAATAATACGACCACAAAAATTCCAACACCACAATTTTAATGGACTGCCACAGCACGAGACACCAATTATTGTAAACATGCACCCATCATGCTTTTCGATTCCTTTCATGATGCAAAATCATTAATTAACATCAGCTTGCTTCATTGACCCCATTTGCTCACAATGAGCACTTAGAATTCACAAGCCACAAGAGAAGGACCTCATATCCTCAAAACTTAAAATCTGGATCATCTTGATAGCCTCATTTGCTCATACACAGAAAATTAAGTTTCAATTCAAGGCGTACAACGCCATTATCCTCAAAACCTTAGCAATGTCTACTTCTAGACCCTTCTCGACCAAATGTGGAAATAATCCGGTGGTGTCTATAATTGTGGTAGGAGGACTTTATATCGTTAAAATAGTAAACCGGTATCAAATTTCTATTTCTCAATCATTCTGAATTTTACTATCTAGAGACTTATAGTACCCGAACTTGCCCTCTGATCACTGCAAAGTCTCACCTTTCTCAATCTGATATACAGTCCAGGTCGTTTATTAGGCGGTACCAGAAATCCTACAGTTGCCAATCTGACCAAGCTCCAATGTGATCTTAACTTCAATCCCTACATCAATAATTAATACAAAATCTATGTTCTCCAGTAAACAACTACAACAAATAAAAAGCATGCAAAAACAATCAAAGATCAGAGATAGCATGCAAAATAATTATTGTTCAAATTTCCCATTCTTATTCTACTCAATCCTCTTATTTAATTACCCTGTGATAACAAACTCACCACTTTAAGCTGCAAAAATGATTGTAACATTGGTAGATAAATCAAATCAAATTACAATTTAAATTCTTGATCAGAGTTTAATCGGTATTTAACAAGCATTCTTAAGTCTGATTAGGCCGATTAGGGTTTCCATTTTTATCAACCAAAATTATACAAGTAATCAACATTCAGCAATAACCAAAATCACCTAATTTCCATTAAAATTTCCTTCCTTTCATCAACTTCCGATTAAAATTGAAAACAAACAGTAATCAATCAACAGATTAAACCACCCTTCAATTGTAATTACAATGAAATTAATCAACCTTTCATCCAAATTTTCGGGTGAACCTTGAAGATTATAAGCCAATTAATTAACAAAATCTCGGAAATTAATTCAAAGATAAAATCAAAATCAAGCAAGGGTAGAAATAAATTGCAATAAACAATAATTAATAACTCGGATTAGAAAGAATTTGAGATATACTATGAGTATGACAATGGCGTCTTCTTTTGTTAAAAATGATGACGAATGCTTAGGAAAATAAATTGATTTTCGCAGTCGAAGATACGAGGAATTAGCTTTTGGAATTATTTTTTGAGTATGAAAGATGAAGATAATTTTTGCCGAAAAAAAAAAAAAAAAAAGGGAAGACGAGGAGTGAGTTTCAGTGAAGCCTGAGTAACAGTAACGAACAAACGAGGGAAATGATATTGCGGTGATCGGCAAATGGTTTTTTTTTTTTTTAGTTTAGTCGGCTACTCTCTCCGTATTTTATTACTGGCTCCACTTTTATTTTGCGTATTTTATACATGTTTAATTTTCCTTTTAGAAAACTTTTGATAATATTTTACTATTTTTCTCCCCGGTCACCTCATATCACATTTTTAATATTTATCATATTATCTCTCCTCCCTACTTATACTCGCTTTTGCTTTTTTAAAAAATTTTATTACTTTTTTTTTTTTTATTTTAACCAACTCCACTTCTATCATATTTTATTACTTTTTACAATTTCTCCTAAAACACTGCACATGAAGGCATAGAGCAAGTAAAAAATACAGAGGGAGTACTAGATGTGTTTGGTTGTTAACTTTTTTTTTTTTTATTGGCTTTTAAGCCGATTTTTTCAGCCAAAAGTTAATATAGCCAATAGGAGTAGTTTTTTTAATGACTTGTTAGCTCACTTTTATTTTCACTAATAATCAATTTATAATCATGACTAATTTTGTCACACTTTTGTAAACATCTGACTTAAACAGTCAAATTAAAAAAGCCGATTCAGATAGCTAATTCTTTTTAGATGGTCAAACAAGTCAAACAAATCAGCCAACAACCAAAGCCAATCGTCGATTATCAAACAACCCCATTGAGAGGGAAACAGTGAAATGAATAGTAACAAGTGATTGAACGAGTTATACTTATTATGTTCACTTTAGTTGCAACACTTCTTAAATTTACATTATTCACATTTTTACACTTGAACTTGTTTATTGATTTAATTATATGTTGGATAAAATATAGTAATCGAATCTTATTGTATTTGTCTTGATTTATATATTCACACTATCTACTTTTTGTATATATGTATTTGTCTCGATTTATATTTTCACAGTACCTAAATTTAACTAGAATAAGTATCTTTTGCTATTAGGAGACAAGATTACACCGAGTAAAACCTGAACAATATTTTTATTCCAAATGTACTTGATTTACATGCAATGATGCAAGATCACAAATGGAAATTACATGAAACAAAATCAAAGATGCATGTGCAAAAGATCGAGTGCATGCATGCATAGAAAAAACACACACATTTAGATTAGAAATTAACTTGAACAAAAAACTAGAATTTCACCAAAACAACCTTAACATTCCCACGTACTAACCCTCAAAACATAACCTTCAACTCTAGAGACACATAAAAGTATAACCCCTAAAACATCCATAAAACTACTAATAATTCATCAAGGATGGGGTACAAGCCCACTAGTTGCAGCACTAGGAGTACAACCCCCACCAGCACCCCCACCACCAAGGCCGCCACCGGCACCACCGAGGCCACCACCAGCACCACCGAGACCACCAGCAGCACCACCGAGCCCACCAAGTCCACCACCACTTCCACCAAGGCCACCAAAGGGCATAGCCCCGAACCCCTTATCGAAACCACCTAAACCACCAATAGGGATAACACCGGCAACTCCACCAATCCCTCCAGCTGCTCCAACTCCTGCAAATGAGATAAAGTTTTTCTCATCACTATTCACATCACCACCCTCTTTTGGTACACCTTTCGCCGCTGCCTCTTTCGTTGGATCAACCGTGTTCGTGTCTGTATCAACTAGTTTAGTACCCGTACCACTAGTACCATTTTTAGGATCTACTATTACCTCGTTATTTTGATTCTCAATATTTTTAGGTTTTGGTACTTCTCTTGCGTTAGCATGCAACACTACAACTAGGGCTAACACTAAAAACACACACCAAAATGACCTAATACCCATTTTATTTTTTCTCTCTTTTACTAAAATGGGTTATTTATTTATTTATATATTTGAAGGAAATGATAAAACTTAGGGTTATACAAGCTCATTTTATAGAGGAATATATTTATAAACTAACGGTGCTGAAAAAGTTAGTTGAAGGTAATAAAGTGACCATAAATGACATTAAGCGAGCTGCATACATTGCATGTATATATAATGTTGCATGCAATATTAATAGCAACAAGGTCGTCTTTACAGTTCAGCATTTTAGTTTATGTGGTTGCATGCATGAGAGTTTCTCGTTATCGTTGAAAATTGGGACGTTCGAGGTTCTTATAGCTTGACACTTGGTGCCACAACACAACAATAATTCATTCAATTTTTTTCTAAGAGTTGAGTATTTGCCCAGATGATTTTAAATTATTATTAATAATAATAATAATAATAATAATAATAATAATAATAATAATAAAGTGATTATATTTTATATTATATATTTCATCTTCGTATTTAAGTATATAACTAAGTCAAACATTGAACAAATTAGTTTTTTTTTTTTTTTGTTTTTTTTTTTAGTAGTTAATTAGTATATAGGGTTCGAATTGGATGTCTGTGTGTATGAATGAGTAGAGTTTTTATTTTTATCATAAATTGATGATATCAAATGAGAAACAAATGAGGGAGAGTCACGTGACATGTAGCCTTTATTTGGAATATTTTAAGTATATAGTATAGATATTTTTGATAAAGTATAAAATATATTCATGGGCCTCAACTATCGGCTTAAGTTTTTGGTTGATTTGGTCTTTTAACATGGTATCAAAGCCAACTTAAATTGGAATATTTCGCGCAGAGTATACGGGAGGTTCATGTTGTATCTTAAGCCCAAAGGGTTCTCTTGTAAGGGGGCGTGATAGAGTACAAATCAAACAATATCTCAAACTACGACTCTATATGTTCTTTTCCGCACTAATTATATAATGAGAATTTTTTTGAATCAAAGTTTTGAAAGAGTATCATAAAAATAAAAATAAAAAATCCCAAAGGTAATAGGGTTTGGGCAATGAGTCATGGTTTCATGGGTGGGCTATATTATTTTTTGGGGCTTCCTTTGTAGCTTTAATAGATAGTAAGTCTATTTGTTAAAAAAAATTAAGGGGCCATTAACGAAACCCTAAGAACATCATATATATTTTTGTAAAAAAAATCTTGAGTTTCTAGGCAACAAGGTAAGATCAAGGTTATATAATTTTTTGATCTAAAAAAAATAGATGAAGGGCAGGAGTGCTTTGAGATCAACAACTACTTTAGGCAAAGTAGTTGAATCTATAGCCTTGGCTACTGTATTTGGTGGGGGGTAAGTATTCCATGATGATTATTATTATTATTATTATTATTATTATTAGTATTATTAGTAATTTAGTTTTAGTTTTAGTATTATTATTAGATTTTCATCTGATTAATGTAATTCTTTTGTTATGCAGGCTTTATTTCCTACCCCAATCACCTTATAATAACGATTTGTTTATCCCGGCAGAAGATTTTGTGGAGTGTTTTCGAAATCTTAAAGAGGAACTTCGAAAATATAGAGAGGGAAAAAAGGATAAACAAGAAAATTAATCCATGATATGATGATTGATGATGCCTTATTTTGTTTCTGAATGTTAACTAGTATTTAGCCCGTGCGATGCACGGGTTAATTTTATTGGCTAAATAGAAAGTATATGTTTTTCAATTAAAGAATTTTACTATTGTATGTTTAAATTGTTCTCAGTTTTTTTTTTAAAATCAAAACATATGTAAATATAAATTATATTGTATTTTGTTAGTAACATAAAATACTACATAAATGTAATGCGATATATTCTAATCCAAAAAAAAAAATTACATCATATCATATGTAAGAAATACAAATTTCATCAAGCAAAAAAACCATATACTAATACATACAGGTTTAACCCAAACCCAACGTACATGTGATGGAAAACATTAGCTAGCCTACCTACATATGGATGCATTAAATGATAAATTGAAAATACAAAATAATTTATAATAAAATCATTAAACATTAATCAAACACTTATACTTCTAATTAAGATTTTTATTATTTATGTTATTTTAGTTAATATCAAGAAACACTATTCTTTCAAAAAAGAAACAGTATGAGAGTACAATGAAAATAAAATTATTTGTACAAAACAAATCATATGAAATTCTTATTAAATGCTTCCAATTGTCTCTTCACAAAATTGATATGTTGTACTTTCCATCCAAATATATTGTTCCTTTGTTGAATATTGAATTTTTCACCTAAAAACACATAAAATCACCAAACATATCAAATCAGCGTTACTTAAAAAAAAATAGAAAACTGAAAATAGAAAAGAAGATCAAAATCGATTATTAAAGAGAAAATATATAGTGGAGTAGAATGTTAAATTTAGAAAAAGATTTTACAAAAAAATAAAACTCAATATAGAGTCTAGCTTATGTGCAACTGAACATTTTGAACATTAAAAATAGGTACTCATAATTTTATTATATAATGAATGTACAATGTAGCATCAAGGAAAGAATACAAATAACTACTCTTCCACATGAAAAACATCATATTAGCAATAAGTGGAAATAACAATTTAAAAACGTAATTAAAATTAGATCAAATAAAAAAAAATTATTTTGCAAATCCAGTTCAAATTTACAAAATCAGTACTAAAAAACACAATAAACGAAAATCATAGACAAAAATGAAGTAAAAAATAAATAAATTTAATTTGAGATCTTAAAAAATGAAAAGGAAATATATAACAAAATAAAAATATTGAAAATAGAATTATAAAACTCGATCTTTAAACATTGTAATAGAAAATTAATTATGCAAATCTCTTAAAAAATCCAAACAAAATATTGATACACAATTCTTCTTAAAAAAACGATTAAACACCAATCACCCAAAAAATCATAAACAAATTTCAGAAAAAAAAAAATTGAAAAATATTAGAATCCTACATAAACATAATAAAAATCGAGATCTGGAAAAAAAAAAGTGACACATGATAAATTTAAAAATATGAAAATTCGTGGGAAAAATTATCTTTGAACATTGAAAAAGGAAAAAAATAAATACAAAGTTTTATAAAAACTTGGACCAAATTCTAAAGTGCAATTTGTTAAAAAATGATTAAATATCGAAGCAACAAAAAAGTGAAAAGAAATTTGAAAAAAAAAACAAATTATAAATAAAGTTGAGAAAACATACGTTTGATTGCACCCTTAAATTCAATACGCTATTATTTTTTGAAGTTTGTTTACATCGTGATAATAATTTTTTTTTAAAAAAATTACTTAATATAAATTATAGATTTAGGATGAAAGAGAGATAGAAATGGTAGAGTTATTAGGGTAAATAGAGAAAGCGTAAAAAGTTAGAGAGGGTGAAGATAAACTATTATTAATTTTTTAGTGTGATTGAAATTTATTTATATAATGCAATTTACTGAAACCCAAGAGACACAAATGAAAATTGATATCTTTTTTTTGAGGGGATTGAATCGTTTAGGAGTTTTTTTTTTGTTTTTTTTTTTTATTTTATTAATTTACATACGTACTGTCTTGTTTCCTAGCCTGATTTATGTACTGTTGGCCTGCTGGCCTGGTTATGGCTGCGGACCTAGTGCTTCAGCTAGTCTGAGTAAATGGTTTGTGAGCTAGCTAAGCATATTGAAATAGAAATGGTTTGTGAGGTATTGGCCTGATGGAAGAGATTTAAAATTTGCATGCCTACGTCTGATAGGTTAGGTTGTATATCCGAGTTCCCTTTTCTCGGCCTATCTGTAATTTTTAATGTCTATGTAACTCTTTTTTTCTGTAACTCATTCGGATTAAAAAATATACAGTAAAGAATTTAAAAGGAAGCTCTTGCATGTTCGGAGATTAGAAAAAGGTAGTAATAGCTAATAATAGGACAAATAATTTGTAGGTGGCTAAGAAAGTTCACACATCACTCTTGCATATATTATGTTATTTCAAACTTTCACCAAACATGAACCACATGAAATGAGTAGGTCTGCCATTAACTCTAACATAAACCAATATGAACTTTCATTTCATTCTCACTTGTTGGTCAACCATTAACCTATTTACTTTAATTAAACAAGTATTAATCAAGATTGTTTTTACATGTATTACGACATATTTACGTTCTTTTTCTTTTGCTTCTTGTCTAAGTCTAAAGTCTCTTCCAATTTGACGGCTGCATTATTTTTTTCCAACCTCCCCTTTTAACCTAAGCTTTTATATAAATACTAAGGTCCATTTTAAAATTCAAATACATACAAACAATCTCTCAAACACATTCCAAACTCTCTAATTAATAACTTAATCAAGAAGCAATGTTTGAGCTTGGAAATTTGTTACTACTTTCATTACTACTCATCCTATCCTTTGCTCTTATACTCTACATTAGTAAATCATCCTCGTTACGAACAACATGGGCTAATGATCACCCCAAATCATACCCTATAATCGGTCATTTGTTCGCAGCCCTCGAACAAAAGGATAGGTTCCAATGGCTTACAAAGCTCTTAATCGATTTTCCGACTTCCACCTTCATCTTCCACCGTCCTTTTGGTGTTAAAAGTATACAAACCGCGGATCCTGCAGTTGTCGAACACATTCTCAAAACTCGCTTTCAAATCTACCAAAAAGGCCCTTTTCAAAAGAGTGTTCTTAGGGACCTTTTAGGTGATGGAATTTTTAATGCTGATGGTGAGACTTGGAAGTTCCAAAGACAAGTTGCTAGCTATGAATTCAACACTAAATCGCTCCGTAAATTTGTAGAAGATGTCGTTGAACACGAGCTTTCAAACCGGCTTCTGCCAATGCTATCAGAGGCTGCTAAGAATGGGACAATTCTTGATCTCCAAAACATACTCCGAAGATTTGCTTTTGACAATATTTGCAAGATTGGTTTTGGGTATGATCCTGAGTATTTATCACCTTCTTTACCAGAAGCGAAATTTGCAGCAGCATTCGAAGAAGCTGTAACAATCAGTACCAGCAGATTCCAAGCCTTATTTCCTGTCCTATGGAAAATTACCAGGTTTCTAAATATCGGGTCTGAAAAAAGGCTTAAGCAAGCTGTAGTGGAGATTCGAGGATTTGCTAACTCCCTTGTTCGAAAGAAGAAACAAGAAATGATGAGAAATACATCAGACATGTCGTCGAAGAAACCAGAAACAGAGGATTTGCTGTCAAGGTTCTTAAAATCAGGGTATTCTGACGAAAAATTTGTTACAGATATTGTTATAAGTTTTATTCTAGCAGGACGAGACACAACATCAGCTGCATTAACATGGTTCTTCTGGCTACTTAACAAGAACGAATCAGTCGAGGAAGAAATAGTCAACGAAATAAAACAATTGAGTAAACAGAAGAAAGATCATTCTTCTGTTTTCGAGGAAGTTAAAGACATGGTTTACATCCATGCTGCATTGTGTGAGAGCATGAGGTTGTACCCACCTGTCGCGGTTGACCTCAAAGAAGCTGTAATGGATGATATGTTGCCAGGTGAGATACCGATAACGAAGGGTACTAGGGTGAGTTACCACCCTTATGCTATGGGGAGATTGGAGAAGTTGTGGGGTGCAAATTGGGCTGATTATAAGCCAGAGAGGTGGCTAGAAGTGGAGAGGTTCGAGGGGAATAATGTAAGAAGAAGGTTTGTACCTCGTGATCCTTATTTGTACCCGGTGTTTCAAGCCGGGCCTAGGATATGTCTAGGAAAAGAAATGGCATTCTTGCAAATGAAGAGGGTGGTGGCTGGTGTATTGGAGAGGTTTCGAGTGATTCCTGTGGTTGGAGAAGGGTTCGAGCCTGTGTATGTTCCTCAATTGACGGCGAAGATGCAAGGTGGTTTGCCGGTAAGGATTCAAGAAAGAATATAAATTTTAGTGACTTCATTGCATTGTAACAAAAATATGCAAGGTGCAGTTCTAAGGAATGTACAAGTTGCATGAAGCTTAAGTCATGAAAATGCAGATATTGTGTATGATTGATTTGGTTGAGGCAGAGTTGGTGGATTTTGAGTTTTGAAGATGGATTACTTTTTACAAGGAATTTGTTAAGAAAGAATCATTTTCAGTACTTGTAATTATATAAGAATTAATTTAGTTTGGTTTGATTAAATGATGTTTGAGTACTTGTACATATAAAACTAAATGCACTTTTTATAATTTAATTTTAAATTAGTTCGATTGAGACTTATTTAATCAAGTCATTCTTGTATGCAATGTCATCGATGACGTACCTGCTTTTCTCCTCTAAATAAAGAACTAACGCCTGCTTGACTGCTTTCAAAAACAACGTATGTAGCACCTTCTACCATAAATTATATCCAATGACTTACATTTTCAATTGCAACCTTTTTTTATGGTACAAGTATTCGTAACATCTAAATAATTCAATAATGTAAATAGTACGAAGTATTTATTAGTACAAATTAATATTATTAGAAGAAAAAAAAATACTATTACCATTCCACATATACTAATCTAATTAGCTACTAATATCTTCTTACCTTTTTTTTTTTTTTAATTCGGGGTAAATTGGTAAACAAATATTTTGAGGAATATATAGTTGTCTTCATACTATTTATAAGAGCATTCTCATACTTTTTATAAGGTAGGAAGATGTTGGACAACACGTGATTTTTGTGCATAGGATACGTACAAATGACTTCAATTCTGAAACAAGTTCCCCGCTTCCAAGTTCCAACCAAACAAATTCAAACAAGCAAGTAACAATAGCCACAAAAGTATCATTCCAAACAAACAACATTATCCTAACAAGTCTATATGTACATATATACAGGGTCATACACGCTGAGTATCAAATAAACTCGGATCCATACTAGAATAAGAGAAACAGAAAATTAAAGATGGACTGCCAAGGTATTTTGATAATTAATCTCTATCTATATTATTGTTGATTAACAAAAATACGTGATAATATTGATTATATTCTTGGCCAGAACTAGTCGGAGAAGATGGGAAAAAGGCAGCAGAAATAATCGAGTCTGAAAACCCGCATGTGACGGCGTTCATCGTACCATCTGGCTCTCAAATTGATTTTAGCTTCAGATGTGATCGTGTTTGGGTTTTTGTTGATTCCAATGGAATTGTAGTCCAAACTCCCATGATTTTTTAAGCTGCTAAGACAATGTGCAACCTTAGTAATTAATGTGCACTATATATTTATAGAGAAAATACAAGTTGATATCAAGGGTAATTTTGTAAATTTAGCAGCCACATCAAGGGTAATTTTGTAAATTTAGCAACCGCACCCCCTTTCTCTCTCCTCTATCACCACCGTACAACCTGCCGCACAATTTTGTAAATTTAGCAGCCACATCAAGGGTAATTTTGTAAATTTAGCAACCGCACCCCCTTTCTCTCTCCTCTATCACCACCGTACAACCTGTCGCACCACCTGCCGCTTCACCAGCCGACCACTGACGACTTTTAGCTTCACCAGTCGACCCCAGCCGACCACCGCACGACCTTTAGCTTCACCAATCGACCACCACACATTCTCTAGCACCACCAACCGATTGAGCACTTTTATATTAACGAAAACATGTTAATTGGTGATATTAACATGTTTTTGTTAATATAGGATATTAACCCGATTTTGCTCATATTTATATATAATATGAGCAGTAAATAAAATGTGCACATTAATACTTGTAATTGTTAAGCTTAGTAAATGTGCACTTTTATATATAATATGAGTAGTAAATAAAATGTGCACGTTAATATTTGTATTTGTTAATGACTCCGAGCTTCCTAGCGAGGTATTGTACCACTATGTAGTGACCGACGTAATCAATAATAATGTTAGCTTGGGTCATGGGATGGATGAACAATTGTGTAAGTTTTACCACTAAGATTTTTTTTAAAAAAAAATTTATGGTGTTTATAGATTGAAAATTCTACATAAAATGACTAATTCTATGCTTAAATTTTATTGACCGATTACTTAAAAAAAAAAAAGAGTTTCATTGGCCAATTAATTTTTTTCATTGATCAAACTTGTTAAAATTGTTTTTTTCTTTTTTAAAAATTCATTTTTTTCGGAAAGTAATTTTCTAAATTTTCGAAAATCTTTTACTTATTTTCATAATTAATATCCGAAAAAATTGAATTTTAGAAAAGAAAATTCATTTTTAAGTTTGACCAACAAAAAAAATAAATTAAAAATCGACTAATAAAAATTAAGTATAGTGCATGTCATCAATGACGATACCTGCTTTTCTCCTCCAAATTAAAGAATTATAGTTCGCTTTCAAAAACAACGTAGCGCCTTCCACCCCCATAAAATGAACTTTTGAGCATCTTACATTATCAATGCAAACTTTTTTATGGTATGTATAAACCAAAGATTATGTGGCATAAGATTTTGAAACTATGGTAGAACATATTAATCAGTATATTCCACGGTGTTGTGTTGCTAAATGAAAAAAATTGCAAAGATCTATGGATTTATCTTAAAGAGTTCCCTCTAGGTATTCTCCTTGGGAGGGTTTTTTGGTTCCCTCTAGGGTTTCTCCCTTAAGAGGGTTTTTCTAGATTTTAGAAAGTTGATTAGTGGAGCTAATAAGTTTCCTGCCAAAAAAGAAGTTACTGCTAGTACATAAGTTAAGACCTGGCACACGAGGTAAGATAATTACACAAATGTCCAAAATGCTGCTGAAGTTCCAAACATCCCTAGTGGAGAGTGTTAGAAGCACCATAGCTTGCCTGACCACCACATCGGCTTCCCTAACTTGATCTCTGGGCCCCTTGCACAACTTTCCCCTTGGTGTCTTGCTTAGAAGGTCCCTGCAATACATATCAGTGATTCCCCATTTCATCAAAAGCATTGTTAGTTTGGTTGATTCCTATAACAGCCCTTTGGCAGTCAAATATGATCGTGAATTCCTCCCATCCTTCCCTGATGGCCCAAGAAACAGCAGCAGCTATGGCGATGGTCTCAGCCATAAGAGGGGAGGTAGCTTTTGTATGAAGAGCAACACCTTTTACCCAATTATGATGCTGGTCTCTGCAGATACAAGCAATACTAGTGGAGTAACCTTGGTCGTCTTTAAAGGAAACATCTACTATTGTTAGAGCTCTCGCAGCGGAAATACGACTTCTACTAGATAATATGAAATCTATACCTCACAAATAAATAATATTTTGGGGTAGACAAACAACCACTATAAAGGAAATAATATATAAGAAAATAAACTTTCTTGATCCAATAACTTTTTTGACGTGAATAATAATTGAATTATTATTAAGGGGTCGTTGGTTAACATAGGAAGTGAAAATTCCCATGAACTTCTATATGGGAATTAAATTTCATAATCAAATTCATGGGATTTTCATAAAGTTGTTTAGTTAGTAATGAGGAAAGTAAATTCTCATGGTAATTTCAACTTACTTAGAGGGGACTAGGTAAGTAAATTCCTACATTTTGTGGGAATTGAAAATTCCTAGGAAGTTCTTCCCCCATTTCATCAAATTTTATTCAACCAAACAACTTATGCATTTTGCAATTCCTAAAAACTTCCCATCTTTTAAAGGTAAACCAAACAACACCTAAAATTTACATACAAAAGTTTGACAACAATTTTTTTTTATGACACTCGTTTTCAATTTAATGCTTATGGGTCCAACGCGTACTAAGTTACAAATTACAAACCACATGTTCCATCGATATAATTATTGGTAGAAATAGCCAGAAAACGGATAGAGGTTGCAATAGTAAGTGTAAGTGGTTTAAAAAATATTTTTCGAAGTAGTAATTACTATTTTTTTTCTTTTTATTGAAAAATTAGTAATTGTCCAAATTAGTCTGTAGGTAGTAACTAATAAATACTCCTACAAATAATAGTTTAAATTGCTAAATACGAAGTACTGAGTACTACTCAATTAAGAATAGGGATCATATTACTTTATTTTTTAATTGAACATATAATATAAAGGAAAATTTGTTAGAAAGGTCCTTTTAAGTGGTCGATTTTGTGAAAAAAGTCCTTGAATTAAAAAAATGGCAAAAACGGCCTTATATTCCATTTAGGTTGTAAGGAGGGAACTTTGACCAATTTCCGATGATTGACTTCGTTTTCTGACCGTTAACCGTCACGTGACTTTAAAAATGAACCTTTTTTTTTTGTTGCCTTTTTCTTCCTTTTCCTTCCAATTCCAACTTACCCCATAATTCTTTCCCCCTTAATTCTCATTCATTCTACTCTCTAATTTGTTGATGTGAACAAGCTACTTAATTCGTAAAAACTAGGCCAGGGTTCGCAAATTAGAGAGAGAAAGGAGATATAAGAGGGGAAGAATTAGGGTCAGTTGGAATTGGAGAAAGAAGAAAATGGGAGAAAAGGCAAAAAAATCAGAAAATAAAAGTCAATCGTCGGAATCCGGTCAAAGGCCCCTCCAAACAACCTAAATGAGATATAAGAACCTTTTTTGCCACATTTTTATATTAGGATCGATCTTTCTCACAAAGTCGACTACTTAAAAGGACCTTTTGACAAATTGTCTTGATATAAAATAGAGAAGAAAGCATTATTTATTATCCACACCTACTTCTTTTCTTAATAATTCACCCACTCTTTGTGCCCCTTAAATGTTGGCAGAGTAAATAAAATTTTCCAACTGTAATAATTCCTTCTATATAAACACACATCCTGTGCTTTTTGTTTATATATTAGAGCTTGAAGAAGTCATCACAAAAAAGGAGCAAGAAAGATGTCATGCCAAGGTAAACTTACTTTTTTTTTTTTTCTTCTTTTTTTTTTGAAAAGAAGGTAAACTTACTGTGACATTGCTAAATCTTTGTATTCTATGTGGCTCGCCTGTCTTAGGGAGCCCTAGGGAGCCCTGACACTTATATATAACTATAGCGCAATACATTAAAAATGTTCTAATACCCGCACATATCTATTGTACGACCATCATTGTTTCGTACATAAATTTTGTAAAAATGTTACTATAATATTTGCATTATTATGAAACATTATTTAGTTAATAGGTAAGCTAGTGTGGCCGGAACTAGTTGGCGAAGATGGAAAAAAGGCAGCAGAAATAATCGAGAAAGAAAACCCCTCGGTGAAGGCCGTTGTACTAGATGAAGATTCTGATATACCATTTGACCTGAGATGTGATCGTGTTTTTGTTTTTGTTGATTCAAACAACATTGTCGTTGATATTCCTTCTGTTGGCTAAGCTAAATTATGATGTGCAACTTTAGTATGTAGATCGATATGATGTGCAACTTAATTATGAAAATCTCGTACTACTAAATAAAGGTGCACATTATTATTAGTATTGTATTAGTACTTGGTAGTGATTATTGAATGGTACTTACTTGGTATCATAGACACTGTTTTATGTTTCTTATCGATTAGTACACTTTTAATCCTTCAATCTATGTTACTAAGACTTGGCTAATTAAAAGTGTTAGGCACGATCCTTTAATGAAATTTTTGTTTAACTTTGGCCCGTATAAATTATAAAGTGTTTAACTGGCTTCTTTTGGAGAAAGGTATAGAAATCAGCATTTATATAGCTCAAATTCGGCCAGATTTAAAAGTGGAGTATTAGATGTATGGTTTACATAATACTCTGTAATGTTTAGATTTATTTTAGAGCATTAGAGCATAATAGATGGTGCAAAACATGTACATACAGAGTATCATTGCTTCTAATTCAATCTTTTTGCAATCTGCGATGATTTTACCCAATGATGCATTGTTGATTCCAATGAAATTGTAGTCCAAACTCCCGTATTGTTACATAAGCTACTAAGACAATGTCCAAGCTTAGTAAATGTGCACTAAGAAAGCATTTACTACTCATACCTGGCCTACTTCATTTCCTAATAATTCACGCCCCTTAAATAATAATGTTAGCAGAAAGGTTAATATATTTTAATTTCCAACTGTAATAGTTCCTTACTTCCTTCTATAGTATAAACACACATCTAGTGCTTTTTGATTTGCACTATCAAAGCTTGAAGAAGCCATCACATAAAAAACGAGAGCAATAAAGATGTCATGCCCAGGTAAACATACCTTTACTTTGCTTAATCTTTGTATATATTCTATGTGGCTCGCCATCTTATATATATTAGGAAAGGGAGCCTTGACACTCATATGTACAGGTAACAGGTAACCATAACACGACACATATAAAAATATCCTAATACCTGTCTTATCTATTATCCATTATATTGTACTTCGTACATAATTTTGTAACAATGTTACTCGATTTTTTTATTTTTGTTATGAATATTATTTTTCATCTTCTATAGGCAAGCAAGAGTGGCCGGAACTCCTCGGCGAAGATGGAAAAAAGGCAGCAGAAACAATCGAGAATGAAAGCCATTGTACTAAATGAAGATTCAGAAATACCGTTTGATCTGAGATGAGATCGTGTTTTTGTTTTTGTTGATTCAAACAACATTGTCGCTTATGTTCCCTCGGTTGGCTAGCTAGGCTACGAATTAATGCATACAATATTGCTACGTGCATGCAAGTGCAATATAATAAAGTACGTAGATCAATGTGTATGTGCTTCAATTAAGGCAACCTCGTGCTACATACTAAATAAATGTGCACATTCAATTAGTATTCTACTTCGTATTAGCACTTGATAAGTTGGTAGTGATTATTAATGGTGATCGGTATCGTCTTTTGTTATGTTTCTTGTTACAACTTTTGTTCATTTAATTTATGTTACTTAGACTTGGCTAAAAGTGTCAGGCCCTAGGCATTAGCTTTGGCCAAATATAAGTTGCGCACCATATCAACTTTTTTGAATGTTGTGTTTTTGCCATGAGCACTTAAGCTAAAATTAAGAGCCGTAGTAGAAGGTATATATTGGCATCAACATGTAAAGCTTGAATTTGGTTGGATTTAAAAGTGACTTGTTCAATTCACATGATGTAATCTAGTCTAATTTGATCTAACTTTTCAATTTTGAGCTAATTACGAAAATAAGATGGTCAATGATAGTTACATACAAATTATAAGATCTAATTTGATCTAATCTAATTTGATTTCATTATTTATGAAATAAGTTGATAGCAACTTAGCTAGCTGAAATTAGCCTAACATAGTGTTTGAAGTTTTTGGAGTAATATATATATCAACAAAACACGTATGGAGTATCATTGTTTCTTATTTTATCATTTTGCAATGAGCGATATCAGTTGATAACTAGCGCAATGTTCACCATTGTTGATCAATGGTGAGCTCTTTTAAAAATACATAGTAAATTAATAAAGGATTTCCATGGAATAGTTAATCATATATAAGTTCAAGCACCTTACATTAATAGGAGTAATACTAGTAGTAACTAACATATGCTTACTAAGAGGTTCTTACTAGTATTTAATTAAGAATTATGCACAGTTTATATAAAATCCATTTTTATAATTTGTAAATTTAAGAATTATGCACCTTGTACAAAAATATTTGTAATTTTATAGTTTTAGATTTTCATCAAAATTATGATATAATACATGTTCAATGTCGCCTAATACATATTTCAATGTAGGAGTCCATTTATTAGTGTGCTATTTACAATTGTTTCATTTTTTAAAGATAAATTGATAGATTATAGTTGTAATGTAGAAACTTCTAATATTCAAATTTCAAAATTGTTAAATATGGTAGCTCCCAAAAAAAAAAAAAAAAAAAAAAAATTACATCATCCTTGCATTTAGGTGGGAAAAAATTTATTATGTGCGTGACATGTGGACAGTGATGACTTTAGCAACATTTTGTGTTAGTAATAGTTAATAGATGATAGATGCCTCGGATACAAGAAATAAACTAGAGCTTTTTACTAATATTTATTTATTTTAATATTCAACAGCTGCGTGCTGAGGACCTTCACTAAACAACTACGAGTACTTTGACAATTACATGCCTCTAATAACAAATACTAGTTAACAGCTTAATTGTCCACTCACGAGTCATGATTAACATCTACTCACACAATTACCTTGCCGAACATACCCATGATCAATCGATCTTTAGCTAATACACAATGCAATCTATATTTCATTGTCATTAATAACCTTTCCTTATCATGCTATATCTTTCTCACACTCGTACAACTTCAACCATACATAACTTATGCATTACCATCGTCAAATCCATCAGAATATAAATCTTTTTTAAGATAATAAATTCTCTTTGTTTATTTCTCTTGATAAAGTAGGATTTAGTATTGAGATAAGACTACGTACGCTAATCTTAGTGTAATTTTATTTTCAAAAAATATAAAAATGAAAATCTGAGCGGGTCTAATGCTAGCTAGTTAGCTGTACATCAATATAATCCAACTCATTATTATCTCAAACACGAATGCAAAAATTCACGTATGAACAGTCAATTGAAATCAATAAAATGAAGCAATATTATATGATGCATGCCAAAGTTGACCAAAATTACATGGGAACCTCCATTCTTAATCTTATATACTTTATTCAAAAGATCGTTATTCACATTGGCAATTTAAGCTTCCGTATATATTGTGTATCAAAGTTGCTAACAACGACCACAAATATTATTAAATATAATTTGGAAAATTGTAGCTTAAGCTTACTCAAGTATATATAGATGTACTCCTTTAGCCTAAAAACTCACCAAAAAATTTGAAGATTATATTCACGAAAAAAAAAAAAAAATCAAATAAAGAAGAACGCAAATTAGAACATACATCCGATTAACAAAGAAAGATGTCTGAATGCCAAGGTATCTAATACGTTTACATATAGCTTTAATTTCTTATAAGCTACAATTTCAAATTTATATCATTGTATTAATTTCTTATTATTGCAATTAATGATCTTTTTAAATTATTGTAATTATTGTGCGTAGGGAAGAATGAGTGGCCAGAACTAGTAGGGAGAAATGGGCATGAGGCTGCTGCAACAATAGAAAGAGAGAATCCTTACGTGCAAGCGATCGTTTTACTTGATGGAACTCCTACTACAAAAGACTTTAGGTGTGATCGGGTTTGGGTTTGGGTCAATTCATACGATGTTGTGCTCCGTACTCCTAAAATCGGTTAAGCCATGTTACTACTAATACTTGATCTAGCCTCGGGGGTTCCAGCTTGTTAATGTACTATATATACGTTTATTTGTATAATAAAATAATTGCCCCGAGGCCTTTTATGTTTTATGTAAAATAAAATTGAAACACATGCAAATGTAATGTTATAGAGCATTATAATGTATGCGAGTGTATGTGAAAAAGCTTTGGCAGTGTTATTTTTGTTCTACATATATAATGATCTATTGATCTCACCCTAAATTTTCTTGCTTCTATGTATTATTAATGTATATGTTGGTTACTTGGTGTCAAAAAAAAAAATGTCTATGTTGGCTACTTAAATTAGCAAAATATTTGAGGTGCTGCCCTTGATTTCGAATCAAATTCCATCTATATATCATTATACTTAGTGACTTTCTTATATACACTTAATATTTATTAGATGCTTTAATGAAAGTGTTTTTTAGTAAATGATGAAAAAGGTGCTCTATAAACTAGTAAGCCGAAATGTCCCAACCCTAAGCCAATTTTACGTTATCAGCGGAAACTTGAAGTTATTCAGCGGAAATTCATTAGAGTATCAATGTCACTAAAAATCTTAGTAGAAGATAATCTTTTTACCTTTTCTTAATTTCTCTAATCGTGTAGTACGTCATTAATGTCACACCTAGCATTATTTCAATTCACAAATTCAAGAAATCTATGTAAAGGATTTTTTTTTTTTTTTTTAAAGTGGTATATATAATAAACGCGCTTAAATATTTTGGCAAAAGAAAGTAGTTTCAGCCATGGAAAAAGTTAGAGTAGAGAAGTAGAGAGACAGGCCGTCCAACTACTCCGAATATACTTCCTTTTCTTAATTTACTAAATTTCTAAACAAATGACACACAATTTAAGAATGTGAACAAGTACTAGGATATAAATTGAATGGAGTAAGTATGTGACCTCATTAGTGTTAAGTGAAAGATTATCAAAGGAATATATATTAAATTTTTTTAGGAAAATAGAACAAGGAACTTGAGACGAATTAAGTGTATAATTTTTGAAAAACCAACATAATATAAAGACGAGAGAATTTTAGCTAAAACATCTTATAAAAATGCTTGAAGTTTTTGAGGGATCATGAAAATGCAAGAGGGGGTGGATTAGAGGAATTGGAAAGGTAATACATTATATGTTGTAACTATGAATTAAATCATCATCATTGCAAAAATAAAATAAATGATGTAGATTTAGTACTATTTCCGTTCATAAAAGTTCAACTCACTTACTATTCATGTGGTCAAAATATAATAACTTTGACCACATTTTATGATTTATACAATCAAAATAAATTAACAAGTTTGATCTTATTAAATTCCCCTAATGATAAATTTTTCAAATATCAACTTTTTAAAATTTTTACTTATACATAGCCGAAATTATTAATGGCCAAAGATGTTCATTGGAGACCGTGCAAATGCAAAGTAAGTCAAATTTTCAAGAACGGAAGGAGTATTAGAATTGCATTATCGTGATAAAATTAAAACGTTACACAAATTAGTAACTACCAAATTATTATAGTCATTATAAAACTATCCCTTAATTTTCATCTAAATTTAATTTCCCATGCATCTCAATTCATTACATTTCCCTTTGCCTAAGTAAATACTTAAATTATAGTCAAATCTTTCGTGATGCCAAAGAATATATGCGATATCAAACTTATATAACCCTTTATACTCTCCTCCAATATAGTCAACTCTTGATATTGTGGAATTTAATTAGTACGGATTAGTGGTCGAAATACTCCGTACTTCATTGAAAAGTTTATCAGCATTATAAGTTATGAACTTATGACATTAACATCATCACCGACATCACCTTAGCATCTCATAAAAATATATGTAACAATAATTGTAATAGATGATGGTGATGATGATGATGATCTAGGGAATATTTTGTAAATATTCCTAATATTTGACCATATCTTAAATCTAACCTAAGCACATATCCTTTTACTCCATATTTCCTCCGATTTTTTAGTTGGTTTTTTTTTACTACATATATATCAAAACGTGCAATTTTGACCCATAATATTTTCAACTGTGTAATTATAAAAGCTATAAAATTGATAATTTATATATTGACAATTCTAACGAAATTCAAATGTAACCATGTGTTTCATTATGTATAAATAGCAAATAATGGTCTGAACTCTAAAATACGGATGAATAGTGTTAAAAGTCAAAATGAAAGAAGTATGCTTATTTTTTATGTCAATTTGTTGACACAAAAATGCTTACTACTTCAAACGTGTAAAGATAATTACAAGCTTCTATAATAATTATATTATTTCCGTGAGAAGCGGAAGCTATACATCGTGAGATTTTTTTTTTTTTTTCCCTTATACATCGTGTGATTGAACAAGTTTCTAAATTCAAAGTTTGACAATAGCAGCTAGCTTAATTTAAGTCATCTTTTAATTACTTCACGCAACCTTACTTTATTACAAATTTAAGTGTTTTATCAAGTTCTTCATGTTATCATGTATATATATAGAGCCTCAAAACCTAGGAGTTTAAGGGTACGTATATACTAATCGATCATCGAAGAAGAAGAAGATTAAGACAAAACAAAGCGAAAACTCGAGA